TAACTTGCAAACGCTATGCAACAAATGCGGTGCCAAAAGTGTACACGTTCACCTCCCCTATGATTTGAAGGTCAAGTTCCAAATATTGGAGTAAGCTTACTTAACCAATTTTGTTAGTTTAATTAACTGAAAATTAGCCCTTAACGATATCACATAAGCATTTTAGCACGGTCCATTTCTCGAAACTTCATATCTAATCATCTCTCGTAACGTATTTACTAAAAGATGAACGCCGTCGTGTAGAATTGAAATTTGATTTTCTCGTAGGAGGCTGCTGGAATTTAGTTAGTTCTTCTTAAACTAATGCTTCGGCTCTCAAATTTCTTCTATCAAGATATTTAAAGATTACATAAAATGGCGCCATCATCTTGTAAGATAAACGACTGTGCTAATCAGGTTTTCAAACAAAGGTAAGTTTTGTTATAGTATTAAAGATAACATAATCCTCGCAAACTAATTTTTCAACGACAATTTGGAATAAAATGATAGGATTGCTAAGCACGTTTTATCGAAAGACACTTTAGTAGTTATCAGAATAGGCTTAGTAAGTCAAGGCTCTGCTTGACTTATTCATGGAGTTTTCAAAAACTTACGGACAGATACACACCAGATATAAGCAACTCTCTAAGGTTATCTAGTATTTAACTAAATTCCTTTGGAATGCGCTTCATTTAGAAATCAAAAACAGAATCCGAGCTAATTAGTAGTGGGGCTTTTTGCATAAATTAGATGTAATTCACCACCTTCCACCCACATTCATCCGGCTTTCGTACCTCTGGATTGGGAACAGGCAGCAATGCTTCGATCTTCTTGGTCTCGTGAATTGTGCGCTCCTGCATATTAGCCCCGCTGGGTTCCAATACCTTTTGACTTAGTTCGTGATAATTAGCCATCGGTGACGGGCCGCAGACCTGACATGCTTGCTAATTTGATTACGATACAGTCCCGCCTCATCTTTATTGTCATGCCAGTCAATAACCGTGTCGAGAATGGCAATTAGCCAGACGGACCTAGGACTTTCCGTATAAGCCGACTGTGTTACAGGCACGGTCCGCAAATGATTGAATGACGAATGTGCTTGACATAGTCAACCTTATACGTTTTTGATCAATAGCACTCAAATCTCAGGGCCAGTACGTTGGGCTAGTTTAAGTAGAATACTGTATGCGCCACATTTTCAATTAGGAAAGTGATCGTTTAAACAAGTACGAGTTGCTGTAACCACCTTTATCCGTAAAGACGCAGCACAGCCCACATTGATACCTGT